TTCTGCAGCTGCATACTAATCTCAGCAACATGATTAAGCACACTTTGATGTAATGAGCCCATACCTGTATAAACTGGAACCCTAGTAGCAACTTTTATTTTTTTTTAACTTTCCCTCATCTAGTGCTGAGATGATGGCAAACTTCATTGGTCTTTTCATGTCTTATACTTTTTTCTCCTTCCATATTTTACCTTAATTATTTAGATCAAACTTTTAAAATATCTTGTTTTCTATGCCAAGAAACAGCAAGATTTTCACACTGCCACTTTACACTTGAGGATAAAACGGTCCCAAATGCAACTACTACATAAACATGGTCCTGCAATCCACAGCAGCCAATTGAACCTCCTGTTCATACTTCAAATTTTACTTTTACCTTGTTTTTTGATAAGCTGTGTCCCAAGACCCTGTCCACTCACTTGTAAAAGATGCTCAGATGAGTTGGAGGTAATGCAGGGAGGGACAGAACTCCATTCTTCTGTTATCAGTGAAAATAATCTAAACCTCAGGACTGAGAACAAGACCATAAGTCAACAGGAGGGGCATCACATGAAGCTCCTTTCTTGAACCTCTCCATTCCCACCACAACCTGTGATACTTAGCTTTGTTCCTGGGTTTCTCCATAGAAAGGCAAAGAATCTAAAGGAGAGTCAACAATGTTGGCAAGACTAGACATGGAGCCAGTGATCCTGGTTACCATGGAGACCCAGCACTGGGATTACTAGAATCCTGTATTCTTACTGTCTCACATCCTTCCATATTGGTCCCTTCCCTGAAAGATGGCAAGAACACCATAGGAACAAAAAAAATTAAGGTATTAATATAGATAGATTGATGTGTGCATAAATAGAATAAGTATATACAACACCAGAAATATAAAATGGGTGTGTTGTGTGTGTGTTTGCATACAAGGGTAAGTAAAAAAGTATTGCTACAAAATTATAGAAACCTTTATTAAGAAAAAAAAAAAAAATCAAAATGTGGAGCTATTGCTTCTTGACATATCCTCCATCTAGATCTCTATTCTTCTGAAGGTGGTGTTTCCATTTAACCCTTCTCCAGAGTATTCTGTGCTCTTCCAGTTACACCAAATCAAAATGTCTGTTTTGGCATCCTGGAAGACTCATATCATGTTCCTTTTAAATGTTCTTTAAGTTCTGGGGACAAAAAAATAAGTACGGAAGGGGCAAGATCAGGGCTGTAGAGTAGAGGAGGTAAAGTTTTTTAAACAAAATTCTCATGGGACAGCCATGCTACCCTCAAAGAATGAGCAGGTACACTGATGCAATGGAGAAAAAGCTCCTCACTAACTCAGTTTTCAATTTTCTAAATACACCATAATAAGACCCTGTGATTGTTCTGTGACCTTAGAGAAAATCTATCAAGATTACTTCCTTTAGTGGGACCCTATCCAGAGAAGCAGCAGCACCAGAAATGGAGGCAGAGATGATGACATGGAGAGACAGAGAGAGCAGCTGAGGATTCTAGATTCATGGAAAGAGAAAGGCTGTGTTCTGGCAGCCCGGAGGCAGGCTTGCCTAATGTGCCCTTTGGTTGCTTAAATGATTATATATTATTCCTGAGTGTTTTTGTGTACAACCAAAGGAAAAAAAAAAACCACACACACAGAGGGAATAGAAGGAAATACTGTTGAATGATGATGATGCATGGAGGAGATTTTAATCATTGAATCAATGAAACAAAATGTGATAGGGTGAGTGTAAAACCAATATTCTCCCATGTAAACTAGCGCTCAATTCACAATAAACACTTTACTTAAAAAAATAAAATAAAATAAAAAGATTACTCCCTTTGGGATCCCAAAAAGATAGTTTCCATAACCTTCTAAGCTGATTTTTCTACTTTGTATTTAACCGACCCAATAGATCCACCCAGAGACCACTGTTTGGATTGGACCTTTTGTTTGAAGCCTCTCTAATGAGACTAAGACAGGATATTACTGAGAGAATTTGTTTTCAGTCATCTGCTGATTGCAGAGACATGTTTAAGTCTATTTTGTTTGGAATCCATGCATGTATGAACTAGAACCCTGTAACAATACTTTTTGACATACCTTCCTATATGAAGTTAAGGAAATGGGTAAAGAATCCAGCATTTACTAATCACTTTCTGTGTGCCTGACATATTACTTAGCACTTTACATTTATTCTTCATCTTCATAACAGCCATAAGGGTAGTCATACATGGCAGATGAGATCAGAGATGCTAAGCATTTATCCAAGTTTGTGTAGCTAGCGGGTGGCAGAGGCTGGATTCTAAGTTAATTCTGGTCAATTCGTTCCACACATGCTGCTTCCCATCACTTCACCTCCCAGAGTCTCAGTTTCCTTATTTGTAAGAAACCCACTGCCATCCAGCTGATTCTGACACATAACAACCTTCTCGGGCAATGCAGAACAGTGTGTGTTTTCTGCAATTGTAAATCTTTATAGGAGCACACAGCCTAATCTTTTTCTCATGGAGCAGCTGATAGGTTGGAATCACCAACCTTGCAGTTAGCGGTCCAATGTGCCACCAGGGCTCCTTAATTTGTATAAAGTTGAATGGAATTAATTAGTCATAGTCTTTTCTAGAACTGGCCACACAGTCTTTTAAGAATCTGTAATATTTAGAGAGCTTCCCCTTTGGGAAATACACTTTTGCCTTCACACATTCAGTTTGGGACACAGTGTCAGGAGCTTCACAGAACCTAGTCTCCTCATAGCTGGTCCATGATTGGTCTCTGAAGTTCCTACTTCCTTGGCACCCTATGAGTCTAACACTCCATGGGAGGCCGCAGAGGACATACAAAAGTCCAAAGTGTGCATGTGGTAGCCTGCTCAAATCCTGGCTCTTCCATTTAGCAAGGTCTGTGACCTTGGGTGACTTATCTGATGTTTCTGTGTCTCAACTTCTTACCTATGAAGCTGAAATAATAATAGTATTTGTTTTTAAAACTACTAATGATGATTAAATTTGTTGACACCACTTGGAATGTATCTGGGAACATAGTATATGCCTATTGCATGTCAATGAGTACTATTCTTTGAATTTTAAATTTTCTTTTTCCCTATTTGGAACAACAAAAGGAACTCAAGGGAAATATGAGTCTATGTTATCCCCCAGAGAAAGATTCGATTACTGACAGGAAGGATACCAGAGGTCACCCTCAGTTTAGAGTCAACAAGCACACATGCAAAACAAAACAAAACAAAAAAACACCAAAATGTGTAAGAATTGTTGAAGGGAAAATTCATCTGTTCTGTAAACCTTCACCCAATTCACAATAAAAAGTTTAAAAAAGAAAGATTGATAGCAAAAATTAAAGGAGAAAGAGAAAGAAAGAAGAAAGGAAGGAAGGAAGGGAAGAGGAAAGAAAGAAAAGAAAGAAATTAAAGTAAAAAGCATCAATCAATCAGAAATATACATCCAAAGTTCATGATAACTTTGTATATGAGCACTTTAAGCATCCTGATTAACTGACACTCACCAATTAGGTAAGGAATGTGTTGCCAATGATTAATCGTCTATCAAACTTTCTAATACTAATGGTGTTCTGAGTTGTTTATTTTTAAAAGGTGTTTGAATTAAATGTATGCACAATTCTCTGGTTTTGTATTGATGGGGTATAATTTATTTAAAATCCAAGTACTGTCAAGCTAACATCAATTAACAACTCTGACTCTGGACTTGGCCAGGTGACTTGCTTTGACTGATGAGATCTTAGTAACATGATGAAAGTAGTGACTTATAAAAGACTTGAAAATATCTGCTTTTACTCTTGTCCCTTTGTAATTTCCATGAGAACTTGGCCAGGCCAGTCTTCTGGAGAATGAAACAGAGAACAGCCAAATTGTCCCCGCTGTCAGAAAAAAGGCCATCCTAGATGAGTCAAAAGTCAGCTTACACCCAGATACGTAAGTAAACCCAGATGAACCCAAAATCATTTAAATCACCAACTTATAGACTCCTGAGTAAAAGAAACACTTATTTAAAGACACTCAATTTTTAAGAGATTGTTAAGCAGCATTAATGTGGTAATAGAAAAGTGATACAATTTTATACTTCAATTTAAAATTTTAAAACTAGTGTAATTTTTTTTTAATGGCCAAAAAGATTCCTCCTAATACATCTATTTTTAGCATTGCCATATGCAATAGGAAACCATCTGCATGAGTTTCCACAAGGCCAAGATGGCAAAAGCACAACTCACTTACCTACTGCCATTGGGTTTGAACTGCCAACCATGTTGGTAGCAGTCCAATGCTTATCCTACAGCACCACTTGTTGTTGTTGTTGTTGTTGTTAAGTGCCATCGAGTCAGTTCTGACCCATAGCGACCCTGTACAGGGTTTGCGAGGGTGTAAATCTTTACGGGAGTAGAAAGCCTCATCTTTCTCCTGGAGAGCGGTTGGTAGTTTCGAACCGCTGACCTTAAGGTTCGCAGCCCAATTCGTAACCACTACGCTACCAGAGCTCCTTAGGGCTCCTCAAAAGAGCATACCAAGACATCCTAATAAAAGTGAACTATTATACCAGCCACAAATGACTGGAAAAGCAACCTACAGAAGTTCTACAATTATCTAAAAATTCTCTCCTTCAGTTTTCTCAGAAGATGTAGAACAAGTCATCATTTTTTATCCCACTATGGAACCGACTCCACGGCACTTAACAACAACAACAATGCCACCTTTTATTTAAATATATATATTTGTTAAATCTGTATTATTTAAAAAAAAAAAATATATATATATATATATATGTCTCATATTCTATTCTATGTCAGAAGTCCTACTCAATAGTCAATGTGTAATATATAGATATAAAACAGGTTAATTTTTATTCCTAACTTTGGCCATGTTTTACCATCAGCGTTTAAAAAAAATAAAGGATCTTTGGACCCCATCAGCAAGGCAATTACCAAGGTGAACATCGATGGGCTTGAGCATCCAGCTGGTGTTCTAACATGAGACTGAGCAATGATGCAATGGTTGTGTTACCTGGATTAACCTGTGCTTTTGCCGAACTCAAGATGGCCAGCAGCAGGAGCAGCACCAAGGGCATTCTGGTAATCGGAATCATCTCAGAAGATGGTGTTGGAACTGAAGCCTGCAGAGCACCAGAGAGACAAGGAAAGAAAATAATGAGGCATATATCACAAAAATGAATGAGTAGGCTTTTCACAGTTAATTTTGTGTGCTTATTTTTATATGTAGGACTTCAAATTGTTGTTGTTGTTGTTAAGTGCCATTGAGTCGGTTCCAACCCATAGCAACCCTGGATAGGGTTTCCGAGGAGCAGATGGTGAGCTTGAACCGCCAACCTTGCAGTTCAAATGGCTTTGCAGTCTGGCACATTAACCCGCAGTGCCACACCAGGACTCCAGGACTTCAGATAGGATCACCCAATAAAAGAATTTCAAACTCTATCAAATCATAGACTCTTGGAATCATAATCAATTAAAATAACTATAGTCAGGTGACAGAGCTTTAATACAATAAATACCCAAATTGTGATCATGTAAAAGTATGTTTATTGGAAATTGTAATCATTATAATGAAACAATGAGTGTAAAATAGATGTTCTCCCATGTAAACTATCACTCAATTCACAATAAAAAAATTTAAAAACAAATGTTTATGACCTTAACTGATGTTACCATGATTTTGAATTGATTCCAATGTTAAATCAAGAAAACATTCAATAATTTGAGCATTAATTTGAGCCTTTCAAAATATATAAGTTCAATATTTATCCTGATATATTAGCTCTAGAGTGATGTCTGGAATTCTGTATTTTTAAGTTTCCCCAGAATAATCCATGTGGTAATAGGTTACAGTTGTAGACATCAATATGGATTCAAGTTTAGCTTAATTGAGCTACAGATGATTATATAGAGAAATACTTATAGGTTTATGTATAAACATGGGGTAGTATACACATGTATAGCTACTTGTTCTGACAGCTAAGAGGACCTAGAACAAACAACATCTCAGTAGCAACAAGCACACCTAGTGCCCAAATGTTGGTTTCCAATATTGTTCTTTAATAAAAGGAATCAACACTCCTTGGAGAATGGCTGATTATAGAACTGGGACAGGAAATATACAAGATGAACATGTAGCATACTTCAGTGATACAAAGTTAAACACACACATACATACAAACTACGGATCTATGTAAAGGGTTACAGGAACCAAACAGAATAGCTCCCAATGGCCAAAACTAAAACAATTTGAGCAACAAAATAATAAACAAAGTAGTACAAGAGTATAAGCAAAGTTTAGAATAAATATTCATGATTCATGCTGATATAAATAAGTAATTGAATAAATAAATAAATGGGAAAGAATAGACAGACCTCCTATGCAGAATGGTTATAAATAATTTATGTAGGTATTCCACTCCAATTCTTACTCCTGAAGTGCAGGCTGTGCTTAGTGACTTTATTCCCGAGAGTACAGTATAAAATTGAAGAAAGAAAAAATAAATAATTTTCCAGTAGAGAAATCAGACAAATACTACCTCACACCAAGAGATATGATTTACATCAAAAATGATAAATCACCTTGATTTGGTACAATAAGAATGGCACTTTACCTCTGTGATCTTCCTCCCCAAAACCTATTGCCCATGTCTAACCATGAGAAAAACATCAGACAAATTCCAGTGGTGGCACAGTCTACAAAACACCTAACCAGTCATCCTCAAAACTACTAAGATGATTAAAAGTAGGTGAAGTATGAGAAGCCAAGAGAAGCCTATTGAGTAGCAACTATTAGATGCTATTCTAAATACATCAGTAAAAATGCAAAGAAGTTCCTATTATTATGGAACTTAGAATGATGTTGTTAAGTGTCGATGACAAAGTTCTGAGTTTCTGAGGCTGTAAATCTTTGAGGGAGCAGAAAGCCTCATCTTTCTCCCACAGAGCAGCTGGTGGGCTAGAACAACCAACCTTGTGGTTCCCAGTTCAGTGCTTACCCCTACAGAGCCATCATGCTCCCAGGAACTTACAATATACATATCAATAAGTAAATACACAAGAAATTTTAGGGACACGTGTGTTACGAGGGAATAAAAGAATAATGTGATAGAGAATGAAAATTGTTTTAGATAAGGTATGCAATAAATCCCTCTGTGAGTATAGGACTAGCATAGAAATAGATTAGAAGAACAATGAACAGAACAGGTAACCCAGAAAAGACTTGTGTTTAAGTGAGAATTTACTATATGATACAATGGACATTTAAAATTGTAAAGACATTTCAGATGATTCTACAGCATTTTCAAAAATAAAGCTATATCCAAGCCTTACACAATTCACAAAAATAAAGAACCCCAAATGTAAAAAAAAAATTATAAAAGTATGTAAAGAAAATATTTGTTATGAGCTAAAGGTAAGGAAGGGCATCATAAGTAAACATAGCAAAACAAATTTTTAATGAAAAAAAAGATAAAATTTCCATCAAAATTAAGAACATCTTTGAGACAAAAGATATCCTAGCAAACGTAGACAAGAAACAGGCTGAGATAAATATTTGACATTTTATAATGAAATAATACTTGTCAATATATATAAAGAATATCTACAAATAATTTCTAAAAACTTTTAGAAAAAAATGTCAAGTAAATTAGCATTTAACAGAGAAGATAATATAAGGCTGTGGTATAGTAAATTATTTAATGTCTCTTTTAGTTATGTTGTTGTTGTTAAGCGCCATCGAGTCAGTTCTGACTCATAGTGGCCCTGTGCAGAGTTTCTGAGGAGCACCTGGTGAATTTGAACTACTGACCTTCATTGAAAACACCTTTTTATACAGCAAAAAAAGATGACTATACGCATAGACCTCACCAGATGGAATAAAAGCAAATCAAATTTACTACATCTGTGAGAAGCTCAATATCATCGGCAAACTGTGAAACAGATAATTAATTGCTCATATGTAAGTTCAGGTGAAGCCGAAAAAAATTACAACAAGTCCATGAAAGCAAAAATATGACCTTGAATATATTCCACCTGAATTTAGAAATCATCTCAAGGGCAGATTTGATGTATTAGACACTAATGACCAAAGACCAGAAGAATTGTGGTATGACATCAAGAACATCATAAAAGAAGAAAGCAAGAAGTCACTTAAAAAGCAGAAAGAAAAAAAAAAAGAAAAAAGAAAGACAAGACCAAAATGTATGTCAGAAGAGACTCTGAAACTTGCTCTTGAGTGTCAAGAAGCTAAAATGAATGGAAGCAATAAAGAATAGAAGAACTGAACAGAAACTTTCAAAGGGCAGATCGAGAAGTCAAAGTCAAGTATTAAAATGAAATATGCAAGGACCTGAAGTTAGAAAATCAAACTTTCAGTTTGAGAAATGCTCAGCATTACTCAAGCTGAAAGAACAGAAGAAAAAAATCAAGCCTCAACTTATGATATTGAAGGATTCCATGGCTAAAATACTGAATGAAGCAGAAAGCATCTAAAGAAGATGGAAAATATACACAGAGTCACTGTTCCAAAATGAAATGGCCAATGTTCAACCATTTTCAGAGGTAGCATATGATTAAGAACCGATCGTACTGAAGGAAGAAATCCAAACTGCACTAAAGTCACTGGCAAAAAACAAGATTCCAGGAATTGACAGAATACCAATGGAAATGTTTCGACAAAACTGATGCAGTTTTCTTCCTTTAAAATGGCAGGCTAGGCAGATGCACTACAGGGAGCCTCTACATCAAAGATATGATGTTGTTGTTGTTGTGTAGTGCCATTGAGTCGGTTCCGACCCATAGCAGCCCCCTATAGGGTTTCCAAGGAGCAGCTGGTGAGCTTGAACTGTCGACCTTGCAGTTCAAACAGCTTTGCAGTCTGGTGCATTAACCTACAGTGCCACACCAGGACTCCAAAGATATGATAGACCAAATCAAATGAAGATGAAAGTCTTGGAACCCTGAGTTTCAGGAGAAAGTTTAGATAAGTGGATTGCATACTTGCTGCGAAGAGAAACTGAGCAGGGACAGCGAGAGAGGGAGACTGACTGGTGAAGGGGCCAGCCAGACATGGCGTTACCACTGTGAACCTTTGTGAGCACTTTGGCAACAGAAGGTAGCCTGGAAAAGCACTCACACCAGTGACTGGAAAGGTGTGATTCCTGCTTTTCCCCCCAGGCTCCCCATGGACCAGAAATGTGGCCAGCTCCTACCCTCATTCAGTCCTGCTATCCAGGACTTCAGAGCCATGCCAGTGTGAGGTGGGAACTAGCTGTACCACTTTACTGTGTTGTTTTGGTGCCTGGATTCAGGAGGGCTTGGTTTAGGACCTACAAAACCTGAGAGCCACCAGACTAGCATTTAATCAGTCACCATGCCCTCTGCTACCCTGTGGTCCTAAAAAACACTGAAAATAGTTCCATTGAAAGCCCAAAAGAATGACTTCCAGATTGAGTGTCCTGAACATAGATAACACTGAGGCTGATAGGAATTCCATCTCTAGAGTCAGGAACTCTGCTATCACATTACTCCCATACCCACCTTGTGAGCTCCTTGTCTTGCAGAAAGCCCCACCACTATCACCAGAGTTTTTCTCCTTTCAAGGTCCAATAGCTGCACTGTTTTTTGTTTGTTTGTTTGGAGGGTTTTTTGTTTTTTTTTCCTTTGTTGCTTCATTGTTTTTCTTTATCTATCCTTCATCTTCCTTCTCTTTCTATTCCTTTGACTTTTATCCTATCTCTGCTTTTGGTTTTCCTTCTTTTTTTCATTTCCTCTCTTTTTCCCCCTTTTGATCATCTTTGCTACTCTACTTTTTTCCTCTTTTCATCTCCCTCTACCTGATTTTTCTAAGTATTTGCCCTCCTTATATTTCCTCTCTTATTTTTCTTTTCTGAAATTCCATTTCTCTATCCCTCATTTGTCTTTATAGTTGATTGTTGTTGTTAAGTGCCGTAGAGTGGGTTCCAACCCATAGTGACCCTGTATGGGGTTTCCAGGGAGCAGCTGGTAAGCTTGAACCACTGACCTTGCTGTTCAAATAACTGACTTTGCAATCTGATTCATCAGCCCACAGCACCACACCATACATCGTTTTTTT